TCTTGTACAATATTTTCTGTCGGGACTTTTCCAGACTTGCTCGAGCAAATTGTCAGAATGAGTTCAGACAATGTGACCCGCAGTGTCATTCTGGGCTTGTCTGGCGCTTCCTGCCTCCTTGACCCGAACACATAACTGTCACAGGGCTCCTGATACGCATCAGTCATAAGCAGTGTTTATATGAAGAGATCAGTGGTGGCATTGTTCATTGGAGCATGTCTCGCATTCTGTGAATACTCGGCCTCTTTGCATGTCAGCTGCAGAGTACAGACAATGGGCCCTTTGTTTGTTGGCCGACAGCTTTTTTTTCTTCGCAAAACTTCAAAGGTTTCCGCAAAATGCCAAAGGAAAGTTCATCCTTAATCCCCACACAATCACACCAGTGTCACCTTAAAAAACAACTTTGCTCCGGTTGCCACACTAAAAACAATTGACACGGTGCATTACGATCCAGAGTCTGTCATTAGGATCAAACGGAGGCTTTTGTACTCTAATCAGACACATCTCAAAGTTGGATTTAAAAAAAAAAAAAGAACTCTTGGATCGGATTCCCATCCACTCTCAAAAGTCCCTCATGTCACAAGGACACATGCTTGTTAAGTGAGCAAAGCTGAGGAGATGGAGAAATACTACTGGAATAGCTTCAGTAAATCAAACCATAATTGCTCAGTCTGCAAGTTGCGATCTTCTGAAAGTAGCTGTCAAAGGGTCATCAAGTGAGAGGAAGAAGACAAGTCAAAAGCCTCCTTGTTATTGTTTCAAACTTTTTTTTTTTTAAACTCGCTATTCCAATGACAGAGAAGCCCAAACAAAACAAACAGTCCGGCGTTTCAAGTGTAAGTCGCTGAAAGCAATGAAATACCAGGACATGTGCCAATGGTGATTCATTTACACACATTGTAAGACATGCCGGCGGGAACATACATGCAAAAAAACAATGGAAAACACCACTCATTTGTTTTTTTGGATACCAAAGCAGAATGTGTCGTCGTATTCGTAAACCTGACAGCAGTGTTTTTCCGAGCCTATAAATACAAACATCTGAAAAGGAGTTTTATGTTGAACATTAACCAGGCCGTAAGAGAAACCTTGACATACACATGCTATTAAAACGATCCCCGATCACGCGGACCTATAAAAATGCTGTAATTTGTATGCCAGACCATTTGTTGGCAAAATGACTTTGAGCAGTCACGCCAAGTGATTGTACTGAACCAATCTGTCTTCAGTGTTCTAGTGTTGCTTTCCATTGACGTACTTGCGCGTAGATGACTCCGGTATTTTGCCTAAAGATGGCAGCGATAATGATATTGTTTTTCAAAATTCTTTCAAATACTTGAGTTTTGTGGTGCCGAAAGTACCATAGTAATGGAAGCAAACAAACAAAACGACACAGTGATGGAATTTTTTTTTTTGGGGCGGGGGAGTGAAAAATGGGCCTGTTTTTAAAAACGTCAGCATTACTGTTGCAGTCTCAAAGATAAAACTTGTACTCTGTTGTGAATCTATTTTTATTAAACAGGGATTGCCAATTGCTGGCCTGACATGGTTACGTAAGTTAGCGCGAGGATCTCTTCTCCATACAAAAAACGTAAATGTGGTTACAGATGTGTGAAACAAACACTCCGAACAAACATTGGCTATCGTTCTGTTTCATGCCATAGACATGGAGGCCATAGCTTGGCTGAACTTGCTGTTGACACTCACGATTTGTGATTGCAAAGAGTGAACAGGTTTAACATTTACAATTGCCTGAGAAATAATTTTTATTGATAATTGGTCGAGATAATCTTTTAGAAACATCAGCAAATCAGGCCTTAGTTGACTTTGATCGAATGGGAGAGCTCAAATTTGGCCCTATCACTATGTGTGTACGATGCTTTAGTTGGTGTCGCATAATCATCGGACATTGAAGTATATCATACTGCTCTGATGATGTCCTCTACGTCCTTGATATGCTCTGACATTTTATCCGAATTTCCTGCTTCCTTTCCCAGGCTCCTCTCTCCTTGCATTCTGACATTTTCCCGCGTGTTTGTGATCCCTTCAAGGAAAGTGTCTGATGTAGCGGAGGGAAAAGAGGCACGCGAGGAGGATGCAGCCTGCATCCTGTGAGCCGGCCTACGTGAAGCGGAGGCAATAATTAGGCGAGCGAGCATGAGTGAAGGCTGACATCAATGAGTTATGCAAATGCCTACACTCATTCGAGCAGCAGCGGCACATGTGAAGGTCCTCTGTGTGAGAGTTTTCATTGACATCGTCTAATAAGATTCTCACGCACGGCAAGCGGACTAGAACTTCACATTGAGCTGCACTGTTACGATAATAAAGGAGGATACGCATCAGTCCATGGCTCATAATGTCATGACTCATGAGACAGTCGGCCAAAGCATTTAAAGCAGAAGTTTTTAAACTGGAGTTCTGCTCTGTAAAATACTTGGCAGTGAATTACAGTTTGTCGTATCATAAAAACAAAACAACAACAAAAAAAACGTGCTTGCAGCATTTCTAGTTATTCGACATGGTTTCCTGCAAGTCATGAATTGACCTGCAATGTGAAGCACGAATGGCTTTGGGGTTTGCCTTCGACCGGTCTACTTTCTTGTCATACAGCAAAAAATGTGAAAAAGATTCCGCTCATGTTGTCTGTTTCTTAGTGGAGGTCGAACACGCTAGCTGCTGTTATGGGGCGGGGGGGAAGTGCTGCTAGAGCAGTCGCTCAATATTGTGATGAAATTACAAAATTTGCAAATTTCCTTCTCTAATCTCACCACTTGCTCTCTCTTTTTTTTCCAGCAGCCTTGTTGTTAGTGAAAGTAGTGACTATCAACTAGTTAAGAAGGGTAACGATTGAATTTAATTTAGTTTCTTGAACAGTAAATTGAATATTTAGGTTTAAATTACTCACAAAATAAATAATTTGTGTGTACAAAGGTCCCAGGCATCCACTAACCTACACAAATGCATTGTTAAATCAGAATAACAGTACATATTTGTATTATAAACACTTCTATGCCACAAATAGAAAAACCTCAAATGAAAAAAAACAATTAGAGCGAGAAGTGAATGTGCCGCATGCCGATGATGTATTCTCACGTGGCTGAGCAAACTAGTTTATTGATGTTTGTAATCCAGAAATGTTGTTCACTCAGGACCACCTGCAACCATGTCCGCTCCTTTGGAATATACTTTGCAGGAGTGTAGTGTGTACAAAATACACATTAATGAGTTAGGAATTGGGAGGGGGAAAAAAGCGATGGCCCTTACATAGTCATAACATTAGGGCGCGTGTGTTCTGGAGCCAGACTCTATTTTAACACCTGCCAACAGAAACAAACCATAAAAGTGGGGAGCAGCTTTTGAAGTGTGGAGCGCTCAAAGTACAGCGAGTTCTTCCAGGTTCTCCTCTACAAACAGCAGTTTATCTTTAGCACATGTGCTGCACGCTCCTTAACCTCTCAAATTGTTCTAATACACCAAAATCAATCGCGGGGGGGTGGGGGGGAGTTCCACAGTCTCAAAGACCATTTAGCGTTGTCCGTAACAGTGAGAAATAACATGAATGGGAAGATCCAGTGGACAGACTATAAAAAGTCGACACACCCCTGTTTGAATGTCATCTTTCGAGAAATTAAAACAATGAGACCAGGAAAAAAAATAATTTTAAAACTACAGTATGTCCACCATTGATGTGACCTATAACCTGTATAACTGAAAATATATATTTTGAAGAGGGGAAGTCTAAATAGACACATGAGATAATGTGGTTCCACGTGTACAGTATACACCTCCTCTATAAGTGGATGTAACTATGTTCAGAATTAACCATTCACATTCTCATGTGAAATAGGAGACAGCACTGGTTGGTTTAATTTCCCCCCAAATAAAGTTCAGATGTTCTTGGAGGGGCAGCACAGGAGGCGAGTGGTGTGCACATTCGCCTCACAGTGCAGAGGTGCAGGGTTTGATTCCGGCTGCGGCCTTCCTGTGTGGAGTTTGCATGTTCTCTCCAACTGCAACCCCAGACACATATGTGGACACCACCACCTGCACATCTGATCCCTTGATGGTAATCCCCCCCCGGCGGAAATCAAGCACAGCCTCCTTTGTTTTAGTGGTGTTAAGTGGGAGTTAGTTCTCCTGGCACAACTGCAGTGTCATCAGAGAACTTCTGCATGTGACATGTACGTATCTGAGTTGCACTTGGAAATCTCACTTGTCCAGCGTGAAGAGGAGGGGCAAAAGGACTGTACCTTGTGGTGCACCGATACAGGAGATCAAACTGCGGCCTGTCGGTCAAATAGTCAGAAATTCAGTGCACAAGATTGGGGTCCACAGCCATGCTGTTAAGTTTCTCCTGGAGAAAGCTGGGATGGACTGTGCATGGCAGCGCGGGTACCCGCAGCGGCTCCTCTCTGACCTGAGGAAAGAAATTTAATCTGCTGTATCTTGCACATGTCGCACATTTGACAATAAAGTTGACTTGAACTTGAATTTGAACTTGAATGTCTTCCTCGAGCTTGTTTTCTCCAGGTACGCCTGCTTCTTCCTTTTTCGGGCAGCTTGTGTTCAAGCATTTATTTAATCCTTTGCCTTATTACTATTCATCACTGGCGTAGATAGATGAACAAAAACGTTATTTATTGTAAATAAATGATTAGGTGAAACTGGCACAGTGTTACTGAATAGATGGATTTCATGCTTTCTTTCCCGTCATTCATGTGTAAAATTCTGCTTGTGCCTCCTAATTATCTGTAAATGTATTTAAGATAATTCATTCTCGAATTAAACGGATTTGGTTTTAAATCCAGATGTATTATTGACAATAATACATCTAAAGTTATTGAATTTGGTTTTAAATCCAATAATTTATTGTGCTGAGCAAAATTTGGGGAATTCATTTTGTGATGCCCGCCATTGACTGCTTTTGTTTTTAAAAGACTTAACCGGAAGCTTGTAGTTGTGACGTCAAACTTGACACTTACCGAGCAAGTCTGGTGAGCTTGTTTCACTTGCCAGCTGCCTCACTTCCAGTCGCACTGAGGTGTAATGAGAGGAGAGTCGTGCCGCTAAAAGGTCTCCCACCATCACTTTGGACGACTTCTCTGTGTTATTCGTGGACGCTCGGTACTTCCTCCATGAACGAGACATTTAATTGTCGGACTTTGGATAAAGTTGGAGTTCGGCCGCAGCACAATGTGACCACGCTGAGCTGAGGCACTTCGGATTTACTCGGTACCGTTTTATTGATCCACAGACGCGGCATTCAAGAATGGGAAAACTACAATCCAAACACGGTAGGTCACGCTTTCAATGCGCATCATTTCAACCTGAAGCTTTTCGAACATGAACTCAAAACGATGTCTGTTTTGCATGATCCAAAGCGTGCAAGCGCAGAGAGAACCCAGAAGGTTAGTCTCGTGGACAATCGCATGAAGACTATTTTGAATTTATATTCTTGTTCACGCTGATTGTTTTTCTTTTAATGTGTCAGGGGACAGTTTTGTTGTGAACGCTTTCCTCCGGAGGGGCATGGACGAATCTGAGCGCTATGGAGGGATGGATCACAAGATGAAGAACATGCAGGTATAGCAGACTTTCAACTTCTATCTAATATGGTGTTTTTTTGTTCATTAGAAATTAAGACAACGAGTCAGTCTTTATGGTCAGTAAGGTATTTACATTTTTATGTACCACTGAAGGGGTAAGTGTTAATCACATGTACGTTGTATGAAGTTAATTCACAAGGTGAAATATATAGTTTGCCCATGCAAATGTGTACTTTACGTACTTTACCTTAGCCATTTTATTAATACTATTTCTAAATATTTAACAAGATACACACACCGGTAAATCCGGTTTGACATTTATTCTATAAATGCCCCCAAAACACTGCTATCTATCTATCTATCTATCTATCTATCTATCTATCTATCTATCTATCTATCTATCTATCTATCTATCTATCGACAGTATATTATAAAAAAAAAAAAGTTGAAATCGTTTTACAATGGGCCAATCTCTCGAATCTAAACATGTCACACACTAGCTAATAGTCCACATTTTTATATTTTCATGCTTGCTTCTTCTAGTCGGTTTCCAAAAGGTTATGGTAGGTTTTCCCAAACTTGTCCAAATTGGGCGGCCGATTATTTTGTATGGGGTCAGCCATCCTTAGAATAAAAGATATTTAGTAAAAGACAACATTTTCTTTGAATCATGTTTGTAGTAAACCCATGTCCTCTATGTTCTTTGTATCCTCTATGTAATGGCAATTATACGTACAGTATATGAATATGTTTATCTGCTGGAGTGAAACCAATTTGTGAGTTTAAAATGGAAAGTTTTGAAAACTCTTCATTAAAGAATGCCAGCAGCATGCGTGAGAGTGTGTACGTGTGTGTGTGGGAGGTGCGTTTGCTGATGGGATGAGTGTGTCAGGCACTTCAAAGTTGTCTGCTCGGAGCTTTGACAACACCCTGTAAGAGGAGATGAGCACTTCTTGACTTTTAAGGAGAAGGCAAAGTGCTTTGACGAGCATGCGTGAAGACCCGTGCAAAGTCTCTTGTTGTTTCTTTCTGACACGTCTGGCCCCCGACACAACAGTGCTGCGATTATAGCACCCCCCCAACCCGCACCATCACCGGATAGTATAAGAAAGCCACACGTACTGTACACAGTGCATGGAAAGGTAGCCTCTTCTTCCAAGTGAGGTGTGTAAAGTTTGCTCTTGTGGCTGCCGGCATCGTAACTTTGGACTCCCTTCCTCCATGCCTCCCATTTTATAGAGTAGCTCCCAATCAGCAGCATCACGAGACAACACTTATATTCCTTTTGAGGTGGACACAGTTTGTGTGACATTTTATATGGAGGGCAAGTACAGTAGGTGAGGTGGGTGGTTTGTAATCATGCAAGTATTGCAGATTAAATCAGGTTATTATCCGCCCACTGGTTGCAAATTAAAGGGGTGCTGCAGTTCACACTCGCCCTGGAGGGAAACCACCAAAGGTGCAAGGCTTTTATTACTAGGTGCTTCCCACCCGCACCTCGATCACATTCATGACTCTGATTTATCTGCCGTCATTAATCACTTCCATTGGGCCACAGAACAAAATAGCTCTCCATATTTCACCAAACACTTTAATAGGAACATTTGAGAAGACATGTCTGAGAATGCCATCATATATATGTGACCACACATAGTATAGTGTCAGTGCTAAAGTCAGAATAACCCTTTTTCCATGCGTTTTCATCCCCTCCTTGCAACCACATCTGCATATTCAGCCCCTTTTCCATCTTTATGCATGCCAGCTGTCGCCCGAATCTGGCAAAAAGGAGATTTGTTTTTGGGGGGGGGGTATATATCAAAAAGTTTCTCACGTGCTTGTGTTGTCTATGAAATATGGACTGAAAATGAGTATGCATAGTATGGCAGAGGAAAATTGAGTCTGCCTGCTCATACGTTACATGAATGTTTTAAATGAGGCTGCAGTTGGAGTTTATTGCTGAAAAGAAGTCCTCAGGGGCTAGAATCTACGACTGCTGTTGCGCAGCAAGTTTGAGGCCACATATTTTCAATTTTAAGACCTGTACCAGAATTAGATGGTGTCATGTTTTCAAATGTAATTATTAGGTTAGATGTCTGTGGCTTTAGTTTCAGTTCAAGGCAAAACATAAGCAGCAGTAATACTCGAGGTGTTGGTCAAATTTTGTGTTTATTTCTTTTTGTAGTTACTGTAAAAACATGCTAGTTAAGTGCAAAAGGTTTTCTATATGTAATAATTATTGCTTTGGTAATTCATAATTTAGGATGTCAAGGATGTTGTAGTCGCTACACTGTAGCACTACCTTTGCCTGAATTAGAAAGCGTCGGTTCAGTTTTCACTTACGGAATTATGAAGTGTTGTCTGTCTCTTTATGTGCCCTGTGACTGACTGCTGGCCAGTCCAGGGGGTGGTCAGCTGCGAAGTCCCAAGCTCACCTTCGACCCCGAAGAGTATAAGCACGATAGAAAATGGATGGATTTTTCGATGATTGTATTTATTGATTCAGTATCGGACTTTCCCAGAGGAAATAATGCAAACTATACAGTGAAACTCCTCGAACAACGAAATCATGTTTGCAGCAAGAAATTTTTCACAACAGGGGGCTTTTCACTGTAGCAAATTTTAACTCAGACGTAGACACGAACAGACACAAAAAACGTATGTGTACTTTTTATGTTTATTCCAATAGTGCATAAGTATGACCATGCACTTATTTGACACTTCATATAGCCAGCGTAGAAAGAAAAAAAGGGAAAGATATTGTGAAATTTACAACCAGCATTTACTTTCACTTACATCAATTTCTTGCATAATTTCTTTTATTTTGCTTCCTCCATCTTTCATTTTTATTACCTTTATCCTGTCTTCAAGCGTTAAAGCTTTTCTTTTCTTAACTCCTTGGTCTGCAAAGGTCCGTTTTGTCGCCATTTTAGCAATGCAACGTTCGTGCCGCGTCTGAAACAAATACTTCCTGTACTACTGCGCATGTGTAAACCAGTGTGATGGTTGCTGTTGCCGTTTCCGAATGAAGCAGTAGAGGTCGTTGTGGCATGCTGAGGTTGGATTAGACTTTTGCGGAAGGCTTGTTTTCATTGTGGTGAATCTCGTCGCGAGGCAAGAGCAGAGAAAAAGATTTCGTATAACGGAACAGGGGGATTTTTCGTTGTAGGGGGAGCAGAAAAGTGGGAATGGCTTTCATGCATGAACATTTTTTCACAATAGGGGGTATTTTTGCCCATGTGGGTTTCGTTGTAGAGGGGGTTCACTGTAATATCTGTGTCTTTGAATGTGTGTGGCTTGAAAATGTGGGCCCTGACTAGTGAGTGGCTTGGGAGTCAGCGAAGGAGCTCGTACAGTTGTTGTGAGCTCAGGTTAAGCGATTGGCTAACCGTTAACAAGATTGCGCACTGTTGAATGCTTGGGTGTCCGTTGGGGCCCTATCAACTTGTGTTTGAATGTGCTTATGACTTCTTGATTTAGTTTTTGTTTGTTCACCAAAGCGATTAAAGGCGCACCGGTTCCTGTGTCAATCCTATGACAACTTATCATGAGTTAGCATCACATGTGCGGTAAATATGGTTTTCACATTTAGTATGTAGTGTCTCAACATCTGGCCCTCACTAGGTGGTTTGGTCTTAAGCTGCAGGGACAGATAGCATTACTTGTGACTTTATAGAAGAGAGCAGATTGACCAAACTCGCTGTTTAACTGCCCCCCCCCCGACCCCCCTTCCTCCTCATTGTCAAACGGGGGAGTAGGATTCCTGAGCTGTCTGGCTGCGACTTCAAAGTGCAGTGCTGAGAGTTATAAAAGGGCTCTGATATCAAGTGGAACCTCCAAACCCTCACCCCTCACCCCTCAATCCCCCTGCCCCTGCTTGCGGAAGGTGGGGAGGAGGTCTGGCGGGGGGCAGGGGATGATATACTGCCGGGAAAAGAAGCGCAAACATGGCCTGTGCCCAACACAAGTCTGTGTAAACCTCGAAAATCTTCCTGATAAAGCTTTAATTTTGATCCGGCAATCTGCCGAGGCTTTGCTTTAGAAAGAAATAACAGCAGATCAGACGTGTTTAAATATTGATTTTTCGGCAAAGCATGACTCCACTCGGCGTCTGGCTGGTTGCCTTCGGTGTTGTAATCCCACTTTGAGTGCAGGAGTGGACAGCAGCACGCTCGTGCCTGAATCACCTTCACTTCAACTGAGACCAATTCATGTATTTGAGTTCCTAAAAATCAACACGTCTGGATTTACTGAATGCTTAAAATTTCCTTACCTAGTCTGGAGAAGTGTGTTCAATGAGTTCACAAGAGCCCAGTGAGGGTTCGCTGTGTGTTTCACCTCTGGAAACATCAACAAGGTTCAAACCTTGTCGCGCACAAGCAAAGCGCTTCAAACAGGCTCGCTGGGATGCCCCAATAATGACAGGCTAATTTGGCCTTTCAGCAACGCCTTTTGTCTCAAGCCTCGCCACAGACTTGCTTGTGGGGATCCACTATGTCAACACGTCGCATTCCATGACGGAAAGAAAAAAAAATAAAACACTTCAGTGTTCCACTTTAAAAAGATTAATTTGAATACACTTGGAGTAGAAAAGGGGTTCAGCTGAGATCAGATTGTAAATGCTCAGTGATATAAATGTCAGTGGCAAAAATAAGATTAAAAGCAACAATAACGATTCAGCTCTTTTTTTTAAGACCCATTACTATTCTTTATGGTGGAAACTTGATCTGGAATGCTGCTGTGTTTTGTCTGGCTTCGCAATGTTTTTCCATAGGAAATCATTTGTTCAGTACTGTTGCCGTCAAACCTTTACTCAATGCACACGCAATGACTTGGGTCACATTTTGTCTTCCCTAACTCTCATCCAAGTGTAACGATAATTGCTGTCAATACTGAGGCCTAAAAACAATCAAACACTTGGTTTTAAGTTAAATGAGGGTCATGCCGCGGATGCAGCATTGGTAAGTGTCACGAAAAAAATACGGGTCTGCTTATTTCCACATAACATCTGGTGTACTGTCTTTATAGCCCCCGTGAAGT